GAAAGTACTCATCAAGGAAAGTCTTCTCCATCTATTCCCAAGTGGTGATACTTCCAGCAGACAATGAGTAAAACCACTCTTCAGCATCTTCAGACAGCGTGAATGGGAACATCTTTAATTTTTTTGGCTTCTCCAGAGTTCCCCTCAATCTTCAAAGTAGTACTCATGGTGAGGAATCTCTATAAATGCTTATTGGCATCTACATTGGTCTTTCTGGTGAAAGATCTATTCTCGAGCTGGCGGATGGTTGAAGGATGTATTTTAAAATTTGCAACATTGACCGGTTGATTCACAATAGTCAACCGACCTACTGGAGCATTGGCTCCTCCGTAATCCCCAAGAAGTCTCTCTGGTGGTGGTGGGTCTTCAGCCATTATTTTTTTCTTTTCAGACTCTGAACCTGAATGATCTGATGAACCTTCTGATTCCGGTCTAACTAATCGAGCTTGTCTGCGCCTTACGCGAAAAGTTCTTTCGATTTCTACATCAAAAGGAAATTCAGCTGAGGGTTTTCCTCGAATGCAAAGGTTAGAAAAAAACAGGAATAACAAAAATATAAAAATTACAAAAAAGAAATTTTAATTGCAAAGCAACAAAATTTTAACTGAACTCAAACTACACTCTATAACCAGGCAGTCTCCGGCAATGGCGCCAAACACTTGGTGGGAAAAATAACAAGTGTACTATTTTTTCCTTTGTAATAATAGGGAAATTTCTCGAATATCGATCTCAAGGACTGCATATCAGTATTGAGTTCAATTTGTGGTTCAATTAAACAAAAATTTAATTGGGATTTTGGTTTAGGAATTGTCACTTAACAGAAATTAAAAATATACAGAATATAAATTATGGCTTTTTCACAGATATGAGGAGCATGCTAGGGTATTGTGTATAATTTACCCTGTAACAACCTTGAATCCTGATCTCTTCGACAAGTTCATATCCTTCAATTACCGGCCCTTTAGATTATCTTCCACTAAGTCCTTAGTGGGAAAACCTTTAACCATCCATCCTACACCCTAAGTCTTTAGAGGTATCTGATAGAGTCAAGCATTTATTTTATCAAGGGTTAAATTTGGTGACTATAGGGTATCCCTAGTCCTAGGTGATATCTATTATAGCCTAATTAATCAAAAACCTTAACGACTGTGGTCCAGCTGGTTGTTTACCGTAAATCAATCCTAATTTGTCCAATCAAGAAGGCATAAAAACATTGTACAATTAAATCAAATAAAGAAGACTATTGTATAAATGAAATTCAGGAATCAAAATCGTTTACAGAGTCAAATCATGGACACTCCCTAGCATTGAGGGGTTTAGCCGTTCATATTTTTTAAAATAATCACAAGATAAAGATTAGACATTACAAGTAATTGGATAGCTTCGAATCTCCAATTGCTCCCGCTCATGAGAATCTTCCACTCTCCAAGAACCTTGATCTCTCCAATCTTCACTCGGGTAATTTATTCTTTGCTGCCCAAAAAATCCCCCTTTATTCTTTGTGAAAACTAATTTTAACTAGTCACATTCATCCATGTCGGTTGGAAGTACTCAAAACGCCCTCACAGCTCAACATATGGAAAAAGTATGAAAAAAATCAGGAAATCAGCATCATAGGCCGACACGGGCCGTGTCACCTGACACGGGAACCCATGTCGTTCTCTGTACATCGTACCAACAACTCTCTCGCTCAGACCTTCTAACACAGGCCTTGTCAGCTGACACGGGCATCCGTGTCAGCTTCTGCCTCTTCTCCCAAACCTGCCTGCTGAGCATCCTCTCCTGACACGGCCCATGTCAGGAGACACGGGTGGCCGTGTCAGGTACCCTGTAGCTTGATTTTTGAGACTTCTTCCGAAATTTCAAATTCTGCACTTTTCACACTATTTTCCTGGTTTTATTCCTCTGAGTGTGAAAACAATAAAATACACAGCCAACGGATAAAACATAGAATAAATGACTAAAACACTTGACAAAATAACGAAACTATAACTAAAATCAACTGTAAATAAAGGTTGAAAAACCACTGATCAATTGCCCCCACTTATAAAACATGTTTAGGCCATATATTGTCTGATGTGGGACTCTTAACACCCCCTCTCACTCCCAAGAATTGTGTTTGGAGCGTGGAACTAAATGGTGGGTGGCCCAATGAGTCTTAGATGAGGCTCTGATACCATATTTTGAATTGAATAATATATGTCAAGTATCTTAATTTACAAGCACTAATCTTTTTATATAAGACTATTCTAATCAAATGGGCCTAACTAATGGACTAAAAGCCCGAATATAAATTACTACTAATAATATTAAAAATAACTTATTTACAACACTTATTAATATGTTCTTTTTGGATAGTACTAATTATTTTTTCGTTATATTCTTCTTGGCGCGGAAAAGATGTAACTGCCCCCCTTGTTTTGATCATTTCTAGAAATTAAATCTTTATTATTATTTTTAGTTATGTTTCTATATTGTGCATTTATATATATATATATATATATATATATATATATATATATATATATATATATATATATATATATATATATATATATATATATATATATATATATATATATATATATATATATATATATATATATATATATATATATATATATTATTTAAATTTAGTTTTTTATTTATTATATGAGTTTAATAGCGTATTCCTTTTTTTTGTAACAAATACTTGTGTATGGATATCTTTTTTTGTTCACATGGTTATTATTAGGCTTACCAAATACTCGCGGTATTGATGAAGGTGAGTTTCTATTGATGAAGGTGAGTTTCTGAGAAATGCTGCTATCAGCGAACTAAGAGAAGAAATATGAGTTAGTTCATCAGAATTGATTGCAAATGTATAAATTTCAAGTTTCTTTACTTGCTTTGTAGACTTGAGTTCCTAAATATTGCATATCCATACTAGGACTGTGCGGTAAAGTGCCTCCCTTTAATTGTAATTGGAAAGGCATGGAATAAAGGATATTTTGTTTGACTGTGCCGAACAGTTATTCTTTGATGAGGATTAAATGGTAACCGAGCCCATCCTTTGTTTTTTAGCCAGTTTCTCTTCATTTTTCGTTTTGTTGTTGGTGTCTATGTTAGTTCTTGGTGCTACAATCCTTGTTTAGCTAGCTAGTATTTGTTTTTCGATATTGAAATACTGATGGCCATCTAGTGTATTAGACTTTGTTGTCTTGGTCTTTGTAGAATAGTAGTAGTGGGATGCTCTTCCTTTGTTTCCCCCCTGCTAGTACGCTTTGTGCTCGGATTTGAGTTGTGTTAATATATTTAGCCGTTTCAAAAAGAAAATAACCATGCAATGTGATTAGCTTGTGTTTAAATTTGAGCTGCTATTTGATAGAAGTGCATAATGCAGAGTGAGAGAATAGTTTGTGAATCTCTGATTGTATTTCTTGAATAGATAGATACAATGAACTCTCTCTCTCTCTCTATATATATATATATATATATATATATATATATATATATATATATATATATATATATATATATATATATATATATATATATATATATATATATATATATATATATATATATATATATATATATATATATATATATATATATATATATATATATATATATATATATATATATATATATATATATATAGAGAGAGAGAGAGAGAGAGAGAGAGAGAGAGAGAGAGTTATAACCAACTGGTACAACACACCAATCTTATAACATAAAGCTAATATCTATTTACACTATATTTATCACTATTATTTGTGGAAAATTTTCTTTTCTTTCTCTAATTTTGTTTGATTACTTGCTGGTTTTTAAAGAAAAATAAATAATAGTCCTTATGCCATTGGAAAAGCCGCAAAATTGCTTGCTTTTGGTTTGCGGGCACTTTAAAGTCATCTCAAAATCTGAATTAACAGCTCAAAACTTGTTAAGCCGCCTGGTATTAAGTCAAGCATGAGCCCATCTTTAGAACTCTTTTTTAATCGACCTCTATGTGACTTCTTCCCCTATTTTTCGTTAAGGCCCCTGTTTGCGAGTTAGGAGGGGAATGGGGGAGGGAGAGCTTTTGAGGGAGGAGATTTAAAGAAAAAATAGAGAAATATTTAATATTTTTTGAAAAAATGATTTTCTTTAGAATGATAAATAGATGTTTATCATTAATATATTTGTAATTATCAAAATATAACATAGGTTATAATTGAAGAATCTCCTCCAATACAATTTATTAGTTCCTCGAAACTAGGGGATTTTTGTATTATGAATAAAAATAAACCTTCCAAAACCCTCTCCACCTAAATTCCTCAATTCATTTCAGTTCACCCTTCCCTTTTTTCAAAGCCCTCCCTTTTCCTCCAAACTCCCAAACAAATCCTACAGGAAATACACGTGAGGTCCAAGTATCTTTGGTTACTTATTGGTTTCTTCAAATTTAACAATGGTGTTTCTATGAAGCAAGATCCGTATAGAAACTTGTGGTAGCCTCAACAAAGATAGCTAATGAAGGTTTATTTGTGGCTTTCATCAGTGTCTGTAACCTAGTAGCGCAGAACTCCAGCGTTCCCTACTCGGTGTAAGGCTTTCCTAAAGCAGGTGTAAGGCTTGCCTAAAGCGTGAAGTTGTCTCCAATTGTCTTTTAAATGGACTCCTTGGTTGGGTTGTGGTTCAAAATTGTTTAAAATACTTTGATTTATAAAAAACAATGTCGTATACTAAATTTCATATATGGTAGTAATAGAAACAAATATAATTTTTGAAGGAAAAAATAACGACATTTAGAGTGGTGGCCCAAGAGCCCATACAAAATAAGGAGTAACAAGTAAAGCATCAAGATGCATTAATTATTTTTTTTACTAAAAAAATACATTTTATATATTGAGTATATTGTGCAATGTCGGGGTTTTTCCCCCTCATATTTAAAGGGTGGTATTGCTTCCTTCGCTTAGTTAACACTCTTGATTCTTGTGCTTTCATCGAAGTTACGATGCGCTCTTCTCGATTCATCAATGGCCTCAAACAGCATAACTTCAACATCAAGATCTAAAGTTTGTATCGATTTTTATTCTCCTATTTAATTTTGCTTTCTTTAATTCCATTCCTTTTTCATTTCTCATTTTCTTATATATGGTAGTGATTTTTCAAAATTCAACTCCGACGATTGTATGTTACTTTTTTTCTAATGAGATCAAGAAGTGTTGTAACCAAATAATCATTTCATGAATCATTGTGTAGATGCATGTATTTTGATATGTATCAGTGATATTTTATTCCATGGACAGAAACAACATGGAGAGGCTGCTATTGACGATTGTCAAATCTTGACGAACAAAATACATTCGTTAAAATAAAAGATCCAAGACGAACGATTTAAATCAATTAAAGTAAGTACAATTGGGTGGGTGATTATTTGAATTGATCTAGCTTTTGTGTCATTATGTTTTCAAGAATTATATTAAATTATAAATTAAGGGAAATCAAGTTGATCTACTAGTGACATTTACGTACTTGGTCCTGAGTTAACTTGTTTCTATGGAATTATCGGTCGACTTCCTCTTTATTTTTGCAGAAAATTGGATAATTTAAATGTTGAGAATAGTGTCAAAATTAAATCATGTTTCAAATTATCTCTTTAGGGTTTCATAATGAGCTCTGCCATTTTCTTGCTTTTTTCCCCTACTTTAGTGGTATATGATTGAAATACTTAATTATTTATTGTTTGAATTTGTTTTCCCAATTTCTATATGAAAGGTGGACAAGGGTTCTTTTTGTTAACCTTGATATTTAGCTTTGATTTAATTTTTTTAATTTTCTCAGGATAAACTTTGGATAAATAGGGAGAATCTTCGGTTTCAACTTTCTGAGGTCATGGCAGCGGTGTCAAGAAATACCTCATTACATACCGAGGAAGTTAACGCTAAAATGCTTTCTTCAAGAATTGACAATCCTGTCAGTAAGTTTAGTGGTTTCCGTCAAGGTTTAGGAAGGAGAGAACAAATACAAAATCAAGATGTATCCTTTGAGAAAAGTTTCAAGTTACCATAACTGAAAAGATACCTCCATATACATTTTGGTTACATTTATCCAGGTGAGTCTTATTTTCACATTTTAAAGATCTAGAAATCCTATAATGTGCATTTTAAAAAATTGAAAACACATGTTTGTTCTTCAACTCTATTCCGCTTTAAAATATATATTTAATGTCATCATTCATGTGTTATTTTCATTGTGTATTTATTGCTTTATTAAAATATTTTGCACAAAATAGGAATGAGAGAATGACCAAAGATCAATCATTTGCGGCTAGAAGAAACATATACTATAAACATGGTGGTGAGACATCGATATGTAGTGACATCGAAGAAGAGTGCAAAGAGAATAAAGAAGCTAAACATGATTTTTCTCAGGGTGAAGACCAAATTCTATAGTAAATCAAAATGGATATGTATTATTATACTTACATTTAGAAGTTTTATTTATATGTGAATAAGTATAAAATAACCATAAGAGCTAGAGATCCTAGTTGCAGTATTTGTTGTTATAAGTGATATGAATCTTTAATTTCCTGTTGGAATTTCCGCCTTGGTCCACCCGTAGTCGCCTTAATTGCGGCACTTTGACTTTCCTTCATTGCAGCCCCTAACACCTTCATTGTGTTGGCTTTGAAGGGCTTGATTTACTCCTGCATTGCTTAGAGATATGGCTCGTGTTGTGTTTATAAGTGGGGGCAATCTTCATCTTATAAGTCGGTTTTTAAGCCGGTTTTGTAGGGATGAGTTAGGCCCAACCTATACATTATGAGATTTCCATATTGAACTTTGTAATGATATAAATGCCTTGCTGGTTCTCCAATGATTTTTCTTGGAGCTGTAGTTGAATAAGTCCTTTATCATTTTGCCACACAACAAAATGTTAAACTTAACACCATATATAAACTCATTGTGCATCACTTTTCCACTTCATTTTTAAGTTTCTCATTTACTAAAACTACTATTTGTCTATTGAATATGTTAGGATGGCATTTGAGGAACACAAATTTACCGAGGAGGCCTTGAGTGTTGTTTAGAGCTGTATTGCTGGATTGTGATCCTTCTACTTCTGCTGGGGATGGTAAACGAAGATGACTATGCTGTGGATTTACTCCTGTTTGCGAATAGTCTGCCAGGGAGAGACCCTATTTGAGAATAACTCTGCGGGAGCATAACTCTGTTGGAGGATGAACTTCCATAGCTGAAGGGATGAACTCTGTCGGGGATTAAGCTTCTGTATTCAGAGAAATAAACTCTGCTCGGGAGAAAACTATATGAACCGCTTACGATTACAAAATTTGGTTAGGGAACATAGATGTCGGTTCTCTGAAGGAACTTGGCTAGGGAAAGTAACTCCTGTTTGGGGAAGACGATGACAAAGCTTTGGTTTCCCCTACTATGTGGGGAGGCATAGACGTTACGGGGTCACATTCTGAGGAAATGACAATGACTTCGCATCAGGACTTTTCTGCCCCTGTACCTACTGGAGAAAGTACCTACGAAGGCTTTGTAGATTGAGTGTTATCCTAACTCATGAGGTGCTTATAACTGCCAATCAGAATGATAAGTCTTCTACTGATAGGCAAGTGACAAGATAACGGGACATAGTCATACGCTTTGATCCCTAACTTTTTCCTGGACCGCCCTTTCGGGTTTTCAGTCCACCGGGATACCCCTTTTTTGCCCAAGCCGCCTTTTCAGGTTTTCGACTTGCCGAGTGTAAAGATTTTTTTTTGTTTTTAACCCTAATTTTTACTCGAACTTTTTTGGTTCGCCGGGATGCCCTTATTTTTGCCTAGGCCAGTCGACCTAGCGGGTCTTTTTCATGCATGGTCTTTTCCGACTATGTCCACATTCTCAGGATGTAGGGTGTTGTCACCGTCCATAGTGTTGTGTTGTAGTACTGTCAAGATGTTTTCTTGATGGCACATGATTCATTGTTGGAATGCATTCGTAATGCCCCAAGTGATTCAAATAGAGATCTGCCCCTAGTTATTTGGCACTTATGGAGAGACTGCCCCAACTATGTTAGACATCATGTCATGCCCCTTGATTATGGAAGACCTGTTGTTGGAAGTGTCTTTTCTGCTGAGGTGATTCTGTCCATTGAGAGGATGTCTGTCCATTGAATATCCATTATGTAGATTTCTCTGCTGTCAAACAACTAGTCATATGCAAACAATGTCATTTAAAGAATGCAAACTCATGTCTGTCTTGAAATTTTTTTGAAAATGTGTTTTGCGTAGTAAAACTGAATTTGCAAGAATGTGATATCAACTCAGGAATTGTAACAAGTCCTACAGGACTCAGGATACCTTTGTAATAGTATGCTCTCAAACTAACCCATGCTTCAGCTAGGACTTTTAAGGGTTATAACGTGTCCTGGTTCACGGTTTAAGAAACAAAGGATAAATGCTCAAAATTTATTTGTACCCACCCGTTCTTCGTGATGTCCTTCAGTTCTATGCTTAGCTAATTGCGCATTTAGAATCCCAATTGGGTCCTGAAGTACTGTCCTAGATGTTCCAGTAATGGTTTGGATACTGAAAGTTTATTTTGCATAGGCAATCATTTTTGTAATCTTTGTTGTCGAGGATTTGTAGGACCTCTTTCTTTTTTATTTTATTATCCCTGTATTTTGCCTAAACTGTTTCTTTTTGTGATTTCAGTCAGCGGGATGCCCTAGTTTTTTTCTTAAGTCTCCTTAGGTTTTGACTTAGCGGGCTTTTATTTTGAGAGATAATGACTGCCTGTCTTGACGATTATGCGGAACCATTACCATCTTTTGATTTAGAAGGACGTCTTCGATGCCATTCACTGTGTACGAAGGGGAAGATTGCGACTGAATGCGCGTCTGAATTAACTGAGAAAACTACCTTGCCTCAGGTTTTGTTTAAAGGTTTTAATTTTGTGAAAAAGAAAAACTTCTACTTCTTTGGCTCGAAGGGGTTGACTAGGGATTATCTTCCTTATAACTCCAGTGTTTAGGATTTGAAAAAAACGCATGTACATCATCAGCAAGGTCTGCTCAAAAGCATACTGTATGAGATTATGGCATTGTTTTCGTCATCCTCCCTCTAAAGGCTTACCGTTTTTTAGTCGAGAGTTGAATATCACGGAAAGGAAATATAAAGCAATTTAAGCATAATGAAAACAAATTAATTCAAGACAGACATGTGTAATGCATTAATGAAATAATAAAGTTTGACATGACAATAATTGTTCGAATAAGCAAAGAAAATATAACTTCAGAATTCAAATGAACAAAAATTCTTTCAATCCTATCCATGTTTTGGCAAGGGAGCAGTGATCACATTGAGAGTCTCAAGAGGGTCTAATTCGATCTCCTTGGTGTCAATCATATTCTGAATCTTGTATTTCAGCGCCCAACAATTGTTAGTATCGTGCCCTGGGCTACCAGAATGATAAGCACACCTTGCACCCGGATTGTAGTTAGGAGAGGAAGTCTTAGGGTTCGGATGAGGGTTTATCACCGTAATCAGATTCATATTCAACATATGTTGCAATGCTTGTGACAATGGCATGTTGATTTGGGTGAATTGCCTTTGAGGTCCTTCCACCCTTGGCTGATTGTTTCGTTGTTGTGGTCGTTGTGCGCGTGCCCAACTAGAGATCAACACTGCCCCCACAAATTGGTGGTAGTCTGCCTTGCTACGCCCCTTCTGGCTGTGCACAACATTAGCTTCCCTCTTGCCACCAAATGACTTTTTCTCTGTACTCAAAGAGGTAGTTTTCTGGATCTTGCCACTCCAGATCCCAGCTTCTACTCTTTCTCCAGTCAGAATCAGCTCGGTGAAACCTGCTGACGAGCTACCGATCAAATGATTAAAGAATGGACCAGATAGCGTACCCAGAAACATATCAACCAACTCCCTATCAGACAACAGGGGTTGGACTCTTCCAGCCAAGTCTCTCCACTTCTGGACATAGTCTTTAAAGCCTTCACTTACCCCCATGGACATACTCTGGAGTTGAGTACGAGTAGGAGCAAGGTCGGTGTTGTATTGATACTGTTTATAGAAAGCAGCAGCCAGATCTTCCCAATTCCGGACATTGGCTCTCTCCAGCTGGTAGAACCATTCAAGCTGAGTCCCTGAAAGACTATCTTGAAAGAAATGAACCCACATATTTCTATCGGCGATGTGGGGCTGGATTTTCCTGACGTAGGAACGGAGATGGAGCTTTGGGCAGGACACCCCATCATACTTGGCAAAAACTGGAGCTTTGAACTTCTGCGGGATGGACCACTCCCGAAACCAAACCCAATTCTTCAAAATCCAATCCAGGTATCCTCTGAACTTCCATGGCACTCAGACGATCTTCCAACTGTTTGTATCTATCCTCAGCATGAGGATATTGCTCGTCATTATAATCAGTATCATTGTCAGACACTGCAGGACTGAGGTCTTTCTCTCCTTCTTGATTCTCCCCTTCCTTAGATGAAGAGGTCAGGTCGACTTGTCGCTTCAACCGCTCTCCAAACCTTCGGCCCATGTTCAGAATACCAGTAGCCTTCTTCTTTTTCTTCTTATCTTTCAGGATGAGGGCTTTCATATCCTCCCGCCCCTTTGCTAGACTGATGAAAATTTGTTGGAATTGGGCGTTTTGTGCCTGCAGGTCCTTAATGCTTTGTTCGGAATACATTTGTGCTTAAATAAACAATGAAGAAGATGAGAAACCTGTAATGGTACCTGTAATGATGTGTATGATATGCATGCAATGTTTTCAAGGATCTCGTGGGGTAAACAAGAAACTGTTAGAATTTGATTGCAGCTTGATTGAAGAAACTTCGTGTCGTTGAGAGTCCTTCTTCAAGAGTCAAGCTCACCATATCGAGTGGGTCATAGCCCATGACTCAAGTTTGTTGTACTTGATCTTTGACGGTGTTTGGTCAGAGGAAAATAAATCCTCTTGTCCCTTGGTAGACGTCTGGTTCAACGTGACCCTACATCAAAGGCCCTTGAGATCCTTGAAATGCTATGGTTCAATGTTATT